TCCATAGCTGCCGCAGCCTCACAGCTGCTGCGGCCTCTAACTCCCAAGTCCGCAGCCTCCAAATTCAAATCCGTCGCGGCCTCCGCTGTTATCGAGGCCGCGACCAAATCCAGGCCAGATTTTCCGTCGGGCCGAATCCAGGCCGGGTCCGGCCGGGTCTTCCGCCTGGCTTCGCCGAGGCTCCGCCGAGCACCGGCCCTTCGCCCCTCAGTATCCTCGCCAGACTAAACTGCTGGCGAGTTCAGCTCTCCAAATTGAATCACAGGAGAGCCCTCGGCCTCCAGGAGGCCCCCCATTTTCTGTTTCGGGCTCCACTCTGTCACGGAGCCGCCCCAGGTAGGTCCGCCATGTTGGCTGTCCAATTTCTTCTTAAAAACTTCCCAGTGTTGGAGAACCCACAACTTCTGAAAACAAGATGTTTCACTTATTAATTGTTCTAACTGTCAGGAAATTTCTCCTTAATTCTAAGTTGCTTCTTTCTTTGATTAGTTTCCATCCATTGTTTTTGTCCTGCCTTCAGGTGCTTTGGAGAATAGGTTGACCCCCCCTTCTTTGTTGCAGCCCTTCAAATATTGGAACACTGCCATCTTGTCACTGCTATCATGTCATAGTCCTTTTCTTCATTAAACTAGACATACCCTATTCCAGCAACCGTTTTCATATGTTTTAGCCTCCAGTCCCCTAATCATCTTTTTTGCTCTTCTCTGGACTCTTTCTAGTGTCTCAAGTCAGTGGTGGGATTCAGCCAGTTTGCACCACTTCTGCAAAATCGGTAGCTAATTTTTTGTTGCCCAGGCCCAGAATGGACTTCTGGAAGCAGCATCCACACAGAGAACCGGTTGTTCACATATTTGAATCCCACCACTGGTCTCAATTATAGATAAGTTTAATTATAAATAAGGCAGGGATGATACAATAGTAAGACAAATAGCCGTAAAAAAATCCTCAATGGAGAAATGAGGTATCATATACAAATATTGTGGAATGTAGATGACAGAGCATGTTCCTGCCTTATATCAAGATAAAAACTCCAGCTGAAGATTCTAAAAAAAGAAAAAAAATGTTACCTGGATCATGATCTAGTGCTTGGCTCAGAACTTTCTCAGCTTTGCCAAATTTTTTGAGTTTTAATAGGAGATCAGCAAGATCATGACACAAAAAATCCTGTTCACTCATCTTGAGAGCAACTTCATAGTAATTGATAGCCTGAAACAATTTTATATATATCGTTAATAGAGCCCCAGCTTTTGGTTAGGAATGAAAAACATGCTTCTATGAGACTTACTGATCTAAGCTGGGTAAGGAAATTGTATCATCATCAATTCTACTGCTCTCTATAGACTGTATGACTTCACAGCTGAATTAAATCCACTCCCATAAACACTTTCTGAACAGAAAACTGTAACTACATACAATTTCTCTTTTAAAATTCTGCTTTGTTTTAACATGGAAAAATATTCTAACATGGAGTTCTATGGAAGCGGTTCCAATGAAAACAATTTCATGTAATTTTTCAGTTTTTGTAGTTTGGTCCAACATGCATATAATTAATAATAATAATAATAATAATAATAATAATAATAATAATAATAATAATAATAATAATAATAATAATAATAATAATAATAATAATAATAATAATAATAATAATAGTAAAGTTGGAAGGGACCTTGAAGGTCATCTAGTCCAACCCCCTGCTCAGGCAGGAAACCCTATACCATTTCGGACAAGTGGCTGTCCAGTCTCTTCTTAAAAACTTCCAGTGTTGGAGCATTCACTGCTTCTGGAGGCAGGTTGTTCCACTGGTTAATTGTTCTCACTGTCAGGAAGTTTCTCCTTAGTTCTAGATTGCTTCTCTCCTTGATTAGTTTCCACCCGTTGCTTCTTGTCCTGCCTTCAGGCGCTTTGGAGAATAGCTTGACTCCCTCTTNCAGTCCCCTAATCATCTTTGTTGCTCTTCTCTGTACTCTTTCTAAAGTCTCAACATCTTTTTTACATCGCGGTGACCAAAACTGGATGCAGTATTCCAAGTGTGGCCTTACCAAGGCATTGTAAAGTGGTATTAACACTTCACGTGATCTTGATTCTATCCCTCTGTTAATGCAGCCTAGCACTGTGTTGGCCTTGTTGGCAGCTGCAGCACACTGCTGGCTCATATTTAGGTGATTGTCCACTAGGACTCCGAGGTCCCTCTCACTGTTACTACTATTGAGCAAGGTGCCACCTATGCTGTACTTGTGCAATTGGTTTTTCTTGCCTAAATGTAGAACCTTGCTTTTTTCACCATTGAATTTCATTTTGTTAGATAGTGCCCAGTGTTAATTAATTTTAATAGGCTGATACAATTCCAGTCATCAACTGATTCTGCTTGGTTTACAATCCTATCAAATGTACACAAAAATGTAACTAACAGAACCCCCCCCAATGAATAAATAGCCTTACACAATCAATTATTTCTATGAAAAAGATAATAAAATATTCATCTGCCCTTCTAAGATCAGCTGAAATAATCAGGTTTGTTTGTCTTCCTAAATCTCAATAATGTTGAGCAAGCCAAGTCTCCAAATTTATTTGGATTAGGAAGGCAATCCAAATAATGAGCTGTACCTCTGTCAATTTAATGAGCTAGAAAAGGAAGGAAACCAAACAGCAAGACTATTTTTTTTTCTTCAGAAAAAAAGTATCGGCATAATTTGCTGTGGAAAATGGATAGCCTTAAAAGGCCATTGACTTGGAACCAAAGCTTTTGTTTTTTGTTTTTTTATTTGTGAAAGAATAGTAGGAAATACAAGAGAAATAATAAAGCAAAAGGTGGATAATTTTTGTTTTGAGGTTCCTTTCTACCTGATGCTAGCATTTTAAATAACAATGCATCTTTTCAATACTGTTTGCATTTCCAATAATGAGTGAAAAGATTGTGTTTCAGCTAAGTGAGGGTTCTGGATGAAAAATAAATGTGTATTTTTATATCTGCTAAGCGTAGTAGAACTTCCCTGATAAATACACACAGGATTGGGTGAGTTTTATTATGGGGTTTTTAATTAGAATGTTCAGTTTTATGTGAAGATTCTAATTAATATAAAAAAAAGCAAGGGATGTGCCTACACATTTATCTTGGATACAGGGCTATTATGAAAACCTCTGCACTTTAGAATTTGCCACCACATCAGTGAGTCCTGTAAAACTGAGAAGGTTCTTTAAAAAAAAATGTCCTGGGTTACATAGCCTTTTGTATCTAATTTCATTTTAGCCCAGTACCTTAGAAATTAAACAGACTAATCCCAAATCCTAATTTTGACTGTGCACTCAAGTACAAAGTCAGTTCGTTCGGCAGATAAAGGATGATAACAGCCTGTATGTTGCCTTGGCTCAGTTCTGAATGATGTTGAGTTTAAAAAAAAAACAATTTCTGAACCTTGTTATATTGGTGAGTGTACACATAAGCTTGCCCAATTTTCCGTGCTACTGTTGCGTCCAGGGGATTCTTCTTCTGAGCTGCTTCGTAGACCTCTAAAGCTTTTTCAGGCTAAAACAATGAAAGTAACATTGCAGTTATTTTTATATGTAATATTAATCATGATAACTTTGGAATTCCCTTACTTCAGCTTTGTCCTGTGCTTATTCTTCCGGACTCAATACCCACACTCACTTTAAAGATAATTTTTTCAATGTCCAACTTGTTTGTTGTCTAAACCAGTGGTGGCGAACCTATGGCACGGGTGCCAGAGGCGGCACTCAGAGCCTTCTCTGTGGGCACGCATGCCGTCGCCCCAGTCCTAGGCCTTCAGCTGGCTTTTATAAAACCTTTTCGCTTTAGGCCTCCGCCACCATGTGCAAAAAAAAAATAAAAAAAATTGAATCAGTCAATTTCAACTTCTCGCGGGAAAAAAAGACCTTGCAAAGTTGGAATTGATTGATTGAACTTTTTAGTCCCACTGAGTCTGCCGTTACCACCGCAGCCACGCCCACCCAATGGGCCACACCCATTGGCTAATGGGCCACACCCACCCGGCACTCGACGATGCATAAGTGGGTTTTGGGTTGCATTTTGGGCACTCAGTCTCTAAAAGGTTCGCCACCACTGGTCTAAACTCTACTGATAACAGGGTTTAATGCCTTCTGTTAATGTATAGATAGCAGAAACCATCTTGATTGGTATAATACTAGACTATATCTATTTCAATGGTCAAGGAATACTGTGCCGTTTGCTGGTTAGTTGTCAAATTATTGTCCCTGCACTTAACCCCTTTGCATAAGTCAGTACAGGAATCCAAGAACCATCAAAACAGTCCCTTCTATCTTTATTAGCCCCCCCTTCCAAACAAACAAAACAACAAGAATGGGAACTTAATTTTGCCTCCCTCCCGCATGTACATTAACCATGTTTCTATTGTAAACATAACAGCAGTTCTCTCTAGAAGCTAGCTAGCTAGCTGAATGGATGATTGAATGAGATAGAATGAGCAGATGAACTCTAAAAGAGTAGAAATGATATAATGAGGATCTGTGGAGAAACCTTAAGGGAGGGGGTGTGAAGAGATCCCTACTACAAAAAAAGTCAGAAACGGGGTGAAGAAGCTTTGTGAAATACATAAGAGATTTATTTTTGGGACTGAGGATGTAGAGAGTTTAAGGGAAAAAAACACTGTGAAGTTGTATAATTCTCAAATACCTCACATGTGGTTTTGATAACTTAAATGACAGGAGAGAAGATTATGTCTGTGCAAACCTTCCCAGATCACATCATCTGTCTTAGGCAGCAAATAAGGGTAATTTGCCTTCAAAATCCTGATCTGTCAAACTGCTTGGAATAGTCAGAGGATTAATATTTATATATTTATTTTTATATATATACATGAGGGAAGGAGAGAGAGAGAGAGAGAGAGAGAGAGAGAGAGAGAGAGAGAGAGAGAGAGAATGAATCAATAATAAATTTTTTTTAAAACTAACCTCTTGAATATTCATGTAGGCATCACCCAAGAGAAGACTAGTATGAGGACTCGGCAAATTTTCACACAACTCACTAGGTAAAAGAATGGTATTTAAATTACAAGAAAAAAAATTAAAAGTATAAAGCATAATTTTAAGTTTTCACAAGCAAAAAATAAAAGATAACTTTTAGATTGGGACAGCTCAATTGCCTAGCTCCCAAAAGTGCTTTTTACAAAAGGCAACTAGACTTTGTTTTTTCTTTGTAAACGTTTCACTTCTTATCCAAGAAACTTAACATTTTCAAAGGAAAAAAAAACAAGAAAGTCCAATTGCCTTTTGGAAAAAGCAATTGCCTTTTAGGACAACCATGACCTGGATGATTGAGACTCTCCATAGATACCTGCCTAGCTGCACTGCAGTATGAATGGATACATCATTAATGTAAGCAAATGGTAAATATAATGCACAAATACAAAAGATAATTGTATAACCAATCATATTAGGAAATGGGAATGTGCTCAGACATCTTTAGGGAGACATGAAGATTCTGTTACATCTGAGATAACACTTCTATTGTAAATGTGGAGAGAAAGGGAAGCCTAAGCCTAAGAACTTTGTTCTTCTCTCAGAACCTTGTCTTTTATAATACAACTCTATCCTCAGAAAATGTCCATGTTGCATCAACTATCTAGAGCCGTGGTGGCGAACCTATGGCATGTGTGCTACAGGTGGCACGGAGAGCCCTCTCTGTGGGCACGCGAGCCGTCGCCCCAATCCTAGGCTTTCAGCTGGGTTTTATAAAACCTTTTCGCTTTAGACCTCCGCTGCCGTATGCAAAAAAAAAAGATTCAATCAATCAATCAATTTCAACTTCTTGCGGGAAAAAAAAAGATCTCACAAAGCTGGGATTGAACTTTTTAGTCCCACCCAGTCGCCGTTACCCATGAAGCCACGCCCACCCAATGGGCCACACCCACCCAGTGGGCCACACCCACCCAGTGGGCCACGCCCACTGGGCACCCGACGATACATAAGTGGGTTTTGGGTTGCAGTTTGGGCATTCGTTCTCTAAAAGGTTCGCCATCACTGATCTAGAGGGTTATAGGTTGAGAAAGTTGATCTAACCATTGTATGTAAGTGTATTCAAATGCACATAGACACATACCAGAAAATCCTGCTCACTCACTGAGAGAAGGAAAGTTGAAGTGCTGCTCTCTGGTAAGAGTTTAATACAAATAGTGACTTGACACCTTTGCATTCAACAGCTCAATTAAATTCACAAGCAATTGTGTTGTTGTTTATTAAAGAAAAGGTGTCATCTGAGCTTGTGCATAACAAGAATCTGGAAATAGAATTTTTCTCAGCCTTCTGACTAAAATCAGTATTATATTTTCAGATTGTATTATTCAGAACTGGTCATAATTTTCATGTTTGCTCTAATTTTTCATGTTCTTCTCCGCCCCTTAAGCAAAATACAAAAAAATTAATGGTTGCAGGAAAAAAAGACAACATTAATTTGAGGTTAAAAAAAAATTACCAATAGCATCCAATATATAATCTCTTATCTTTTCGGATCAGGAGGTAAATCTGAGCCATCTTTTCCTTAACTTCAGTGTAATATGGCTGATTGGGAGTGATATTCCTCAGCATTGTTAAAGCTAAATCCACTTCTCCTTTACTGAGAGCCAAATCTACATTAGCAACAGTGACACGGATTTCTTCGGAGGTCCCACTAAATTCATTGATGGCATCTTGCATTATCTTGGTAGCTTCATGCTGGAATGCGAAAATGAATGTTAAAAACAAAACTGCAAACCTTAATGATTACTTAATTATTACAGGTGAAATTATTAACATTTACAGTATTTAGCATTTTTAGAAAATTTAATGAATATTATATATGTACTCCAGTAATTTTTATATAACGTCTAAGCAGAATACCAGTATATTTCCATAAAGCAGGTATGGACTGAGGCTAAAAAATGGTTGACGTCAGAAATCAAAGTCAAACTGAAGAGTTGAATTGAAGAGATTTTATTCCTTTTTACTATTATCTTGTTGTTACTCTTTCTCTATCACAATACAAAGAGGAAGCAAATTGTCAGCCTCACCAGACCAGATCAGGATATACACAATCAGCACAATCAGACTTGTAAGATTTTGTTATCACAATCTCAATAAGATTGTGTACCTCCTCCCACTTCTTATAATCCAGGGAGAAGTGTACCTCCTCCCACTTCTTATAATCCAGTTAATCAGGGCAGCATCTGCTTGAGCTGCTCCCAAATGTTACTTTAATTTTTGGACCTAAGAAAAAGTATCAACAATAAATGATAGTTCTTGCATATATTAACAACCACTCTCTCAGCAACCATTCAAACTTGCAATGGCATTGAATAAGTTGCAGTTATGACCAGTTTTTGAAGTTCTAGCTCGTGTAGTGTCTCTGTGGTCATGTGACCACAATTTGCCACCTTCCCTGCCAGTTTCCCATAAGCAAAGTCAACAGGGAAGCCAATATATCAAAAGTCATGATCACATAAGGTCCTTGCTTAATAACCCACGTGGTCCACACTTAACACTGGTGACTGCTGAACTGCCATCACTAAGCAGCATGGTCACATGACATCATGCTATATGATTGTGTTACTTAGTGATGGAAATTCTGGTCCCAATTACTGGTGTTAATTGAAGACTACCTGTATTGCTATGAAGGTCATTTTCTTTCTCTACCCCAAATGTCTGGGCAGAGGGTCAGCTATTCAAATTAAACAAAGGGACACTTTGATTTATAGCTGCAGATGCATCACTCTTCAAGGTTTCAAGAAGGCCACTACATAACTTTAAAATTTTTACTAATTATTCACCAAGGTATGGAATTCACCAGTTATATTTCTCTAATTTCACTGTCCTTGGTGACAGGAGAAAGCAGTTAAAATATAACTGTATGGAACAATAACTCACAACAGATAAACAAATGCACAAAAAGCCACAAGCACAACGTATTAATCTAAAGTTAGTCTATGAAATCTCATTATGAATCTGCCAAAATCTTTCAAGGTTTGATAATCTCACAAGAGTTTAGTCACTTTAAAGAACTATTTATAACAGTTGCTTGCACCATAAACTAGCTGAAACTGTTCCTGATTACTTTGGAGAAGCCAGCAACTGGCCTTCTTTAATGATTAATTAATGATTATGCCTTTACTGGACCATAACATGCCTTCAGGTAAATCATAGTCCCATATTGGCAAAGCTTGAGTGCTAGTACTGAGAAGGTCCTGCTTTGTACTCAGCAGATATCAACTACTGCTAACTTAGTAGAAGAGCATAAAGATGAAGGTTATTCCTTAAATAACACATCAGGCATAAAATTAGTTAGTGGTGGTTTTTAACTATGAGGAACATGTTCCAATTTTTATACAGCGTAAATCAACAATGGCCCATAAATCAGTAGATCCAAATCATGCAATGCCTAATGCTTGGAACAAGTATTCTAAATAAAATCCCTCCCTGGAGGTATTTAAAAAAAATTATACTAATGTTAATATTAGCTAGTTAATTTTTGATTTGGTTTTAAAATTCTTCTTAATTGTTTTTCTCTCAGGTTCCCTTCCCACTTTTAAAAAGACAAAAGTCTCTTGTTTATACGGGTTATATTTACTGATATTTCTCACACTGAAAATTAAAATGGATGCATTCATAGAATATTGAATCACTTAAAAATAATTAACAAAAGTCATTAGATGTTAATTTTTTTTGTTAAAAACCCTATTTTTAACAAATAAATAATAATAATTAGAAGAGTGACAGTGTTTTACATTTTTTGCAGATATCTTCAATATCTGGTAAATAATTCTGATTTCTTACCAATTCCCCATTAAGTCGAAGAGCTTCAGCAAGTTCCAGATAAATGGAGACCTGTTCACTCATTGTGACAAAGGGCCCCTGGCCTTTCTTAGCGTCCCCTTTCATTTGAGGTATATTGATAAGCATTTTTAAGACTTTAATCGCTTCAGGATACTCCCCAGCTTTATTCAATGCTTTAGCCTTGATGAAGTGGTACAGTGGAGAATCACGAAGCTAGAAAAAAATATTAGAAGTTGACACAAATAAAATGCTGGCTCAGGAATTCTGGGAGTTGAAGTGCACGTCATAAAGGGGCCATAGTTCCCCACCTCTGCTTTAAAATGATTGTGTTCAGTTAGCACAGGATGCACAGTTAAGCAAATGTTTAGATAAAACCAGCTCTGATTTGACATTTTTTTCATTGCTTTCATAGTAGACATTTGAATAGTTGCTTTCCTATACTATAAAAGTAACAAATTCATTCTATTTTAGATTGCAGAGTGCATTCCCAAATCTTGGACTCCCCTATTTTGCTTAGACACAAGTGTTTTTAATATCAGAGTCCCCTGAAATATTAATTAGACACTTTCTTACATGTCTTCTTGCCCCTTAAGTGTTACCTGTTCAGCTGTGATTCTACTTCACCCTTTGTTAGTTTCAACCCCACAGTGATAGTTTGCAAACACTAGTTTTATTAGGTTCTTTAAAATAATATCGTTTTATTTTGCAATTTTATAAAAAAAATTAAACTAATTAACTATATCATTCATAGAGCAGAGGTTAAGTGGCAAAGGGCAATCGAGGAAGAATTTTCAGCTTGGAAGCCCTATAATATATACTTAATTGATGTGTCAGCAGAACACATTGGACAGGTAAGGATTGAAATAGTATTTTAAATTACTATGAATCAAACATTAAAAAGAGGGGGGAAATGAAACTGGGATTTAATGGCAATGTCAAATTTCATTGGTAAATGTGTTGTTTTTCATTTAATGGTTTTTATTATATAGATTTTTTTCATTTTGTAAGTTGCCCAAAGTCACTTATGTGTGAGTTGGGCAGCTATATAAATTTGTTTATAAATAAATAAATACATACATACATACATACATAAATGCATGTATGTATGTATATATGTATGTCAGGGTTCTCCATAAACATGGAATGATTAAAATGGCAATTTTAGGCTACAGTTGGGAAACAAGTTTTGTCTTACTAATTTCCTGTCTTTTAAATGTGTGCAAGTCTCAAAATAAAATTCTTTTGAATTTTTTTAAATTCTTAAATAGATCAATAGGCAGTACAGCAAAAGAGTCAGTTATCACACATATTGAAATTATTTTCTTGTGATTCAGTCTCACCTGAAAATTGTAGCTAACCCCTATTTCGAGTGAATGGGCACATTCTTTGATGTTTCTTTGAGAAAGGTGAATCTGGGCCATAAGAAGATTGGCATCTGTTAATGTTGGGTCCAGATCTAGACAACGTTGCAATGTACCTTGGGCAGTTTCAAGTTCTCCTGCAAAACAGTTGTATATTTCTACATCATCTGCTTCTTATTCTTAAAGTTCTGATTCTTTTGAACTCACAAAGTAGCTTGATAAATTGAACCTATACATCTTATTTGTTATATTATAAGGAAGTCAGAAACAATTTTTTTAAGCATTGAAATAATTCACAGTATTAATTCAAACCACGCATTGTATTTTTTACCATTAAAAACTGGTAGTTTTGCATATTTGAATTTCCAATCTGAAGTGGAAAGAAGTCAGCTTTGGTAAGTATATTGGTTACTATATTGCCAACACTTTACAAAGTTGGGCCAACACATCTGCTCACTTTTTATTTCCTGTCCAAATAAAACAGAGTTAAACTAAAGAGGAAGCAATAATTTCAGGACAGTACAATCAACTTCTTACAACCAATACTGTATTCTCAGAATATACCCTTGTCTAAGGGTGGAGGTTCATTCTCCGACCTTGTGGAAGGAACCTCCACCCTCATCTTACATCTGAGCTACAGATATTCGCCACCAGCGCATACCCTTATCTACCATTATTCCCAATTTGGAAGGCAAAATTAATTAAGCTATGGGCATATCGTTAAAATGCTTGATTGAGAATGTTTATAAAATATATTTGAACTGTAGGAATTATCTCATCAATAGCAGACATCATTATACGAATGCCTGATCTCACTTCTACTTAATATGTAAACCAATATTTTCCAATGCTGTCTTTTAGATATGTCCAACTTCAGTTCCCATAATCTAAGGTCATGTCTGGAAATAGCTAAATTGTGAGACACTATTTGCATATGATCAGATGCAAAGCTCATTAGGGAGACCTGAAAGTTTTGGGGGCATAAATGTATATGTTGCAAAGAATCTATTTTAAAATTTATTTAAAGCATGAAGATAGAGAAAAAAAATAAGGATCAACTAATCATAAAATGTGTTGGAAAAGAAAACAATGCTTGTACAAAACAGGCTCCTTCAAACTTTTTAGTGACCCAACTATGCTGAGTTTATCAAAATAACCAACTAAAAAAAATTATAATCTAAAATCTGTGAATATTACTTTTACTTGGGTAAGCAATTAGATCAAAACTTACCGGATAAATATTTAACTTGAGCCATGAGGAAAAGAGGCTCTATTATCCCAGGAGCTGATTTTACTAGTGGATTCAAAATTATTGTTGTTTGCTTTAGAAGGGGAGATAAAACTTGGCCAGGTAACCGGGGCTATAAGGGCAAAAAGTAGAAATACACGTTTTCTAACATACAAAGTGAAATAATTTATTTGCTGGCTATTCCCAAAAGTATGTGAACAGGATTTATAAATGATAATAGTGCAGAACTATTTACAGGAATTAAGATACAGATGATGTCCTCTAAAGTGAAACATTATTGTATTATGTTAAGTGACAAACTAGTTCTACAGTTTTAAAGAACTTAAATGTATTTTATTCAAGGATGGTGCTTGCCAGGATTCCAAACATCTTACAGTTGCCAAGGTCGAAAAACACTGAGCTAGACAGAAAAACATTCATGCATAAGGTAGTCCTCGGTTCAGATAGCAATTGGGACCGGAATTTCCATAGCTAATCAATACAGTTGTAAAGTGCAATGTTATGTGACTTTTTTAGCGACAGAAATCCTGTAGTTCCTGTTGCCATTGTAATGCGAGGATTTGTTAAGCAGAAAGAGGAGGGAGTCCCAAGGAAGCAGGCAGGTGGGTATACTGGCAGTGCCATGGTGGGGGGAGTGCTGCAGGCTGACACTAAGGAGTGCAACAAAGCAGTGGGAATGGCTTCCAAATTCTTGCCAGCTTCCTCAATGATTTTGTTTGTGGGAAGCTGGCAAGCAATATCAGAAATTACAATCACATGAGTGTGGGGATGCTGCAATGGCCACAACTTTGCAGACCAGACATAAGTCTTCCTTATTCAGTGCCACTGTGAATTTGAACAATTCCTGAACAAGTGGTCATAACTTAAGGACTACCTTTGGTATGGTCTCCAGTTATGTTCTAATCTTTTATTCTCCATTCATTTTTGAGAAACTATTTGATGTATGGACCCAGAGCTTTCTCATTAGACCAGGGATCTTCAAACTGGGCCCTTTTATGACTTGTGGACTTCAACTCCCAGAATTCCTCAGCCAGTGTGCCTGGCTGAGGAATTCTGGGAGTTGAAGTCCACAAGTCATAAAAGGGCCAAGTTTGAAGACTCCTGCACCAGACCTTACTGCCAGTACAGGTAGTTCTTGACTTACAACCATAATTGAGCCCAAAATTTCTGTTGCTAAGTGAGACATTGTTAAGTGAGTTTTGCTCCATTTTATGACCTTTCTTGCCACAGTTGTTAAATGAATCACTGCAGTTATTAAGTTAGTGACACAGTTGTTAATTGAATCTGGCTTCCCCATTGACTTTGCTTCTCAGAAAGTCACAAAAGGGGATCACATGATCCCGGGACACTGCAACGTCACAAATATGAGTCAGTTGCCAAGCATCCCAATTTTGATCACATGACCGTGAGGATGCTGCAATGGTCGTAAGTGTAAAAAATAGTCATAAGTCACTTTTTCAGTGATGTTGTAACTTTGAACAGTCACTAAATGAATCATTGTAAGTTGAGGACTACCTGTAATTGAAAATGGGGGTGGAGAGATAAGGTATCTTACATTTTTGGCAGGCTTCAATGCACCATTAATAGCTAACCTCCATACATCTGGACCCTATATCAAAAGGCTTCTCATCCCTCCCCAAATTTCTACTGCTTAGAAAAGTGCAAGTAAGAAAGTCAGTTTTCTACCTGTTTGGGACAAAAGACCAAATATTCTTTCACAATTTCAATCAGAAACATGGGGTTGAGCTTTTCGTAATATTCAATACTCAAAGGAAGACCATGCAAAGCAGAAAAATGAAGTTCTGCGGCTTCGTTGAGAAAGGCACCAGCAATCTGTTCATTCTTGTTTTTCCTTGAAGCAATAACAGCCTGCAGATAAGCTAGAACCTAGAAGAGAGAGAATCCTTTAAAAATGAAGTTAATATCCATGAAATTCAGTGCACATTGTATATAAACTAGAGTGTAAATAGGGAGGAGAGCAGGATTATTTGTTTCCTTCTCTTTCATGTGTGAATTCTACTAATCTTTCTCTAACTGGTTGAATGTTAAATGCTGCATGTGAATTCTACGCAAATCAGTTTGGGTTTGATGTAGAAATTACTCTAATGAATAAATAAATACTTGAAAATAACCAATTTTAATCATAATCCTTAAACTAAATACCAACAAGGCCCAGCTGATTTGTGAGACCCACTCAGTTGGCCCTGGTTTCTTTGAAGCGTCCCCAGAGGTTACAAGAGAGAGGATCAAAGAGAAAAATACACAAAATTATCCTGGTCCAGCTGGTCATTTTGAACAAATAAGCAGCATGGGGAGAACAGGCAAATTTGCAGCTCTTTCCTGATAAAAATCCTTATTTTACATCTACATAATCAGGGCTTTTTTTTTCATAGAACACCCAGAACGGAGTTCCGGCACCTTTTTTGGATGAAACCTTGTAGGGTAGGCAAGGCGGGTTTTATGACGTGTGTGAGTTCTGGCATCTTTTTTTTTTTTTTTTTAGAAAAAAAAGCACTGTACATAATTATACGTATGCATTTGTTCTGTGTTATTTTCCAATGAAATAACATCAGTATTTCAATTAATATCAATTCTGCAAAATTACATTTGTAAACATTATTTATGTAACAGTAGGAATGTTGTTCTTTATAGTAAAGCAGTGGTTCTCAACCTTTTTAATGCCGCGACCCCAACTGGTCGTAAGTCGAGGACTAAACCGGTCGTAAGTCGAGGACTAAACCGGTCGTAAGTCGAGGACTACCCAACCGGTCGTAAGTCGAGGACTTTCCCTGCCCGGGAGCACCACGCATGCGTGGTTCCGCCCCCTGTGCCAGCCAAGGCGTAGCTGGCAAGCGGCTGATACGGAGCAGGCCGACCACCAGCTGGCCCAGCCCAAGGGAGGTAAGGCACCCGCCGGAAAAGGGGAAAAAAATGGCGGACAAAAAAAATGGCAGACAAAAAAAATGGTGGACAGCCTTGCTTGGCGACCCCCGTGAAATGGTCGATCGACCCCAAATGGGGTCCCGACCCACAGGTTGAGAACCACTGTAGTAAAGTCATTCTACAGTTCAACAGTAGCAGAGAATACTTGTCAAATACAATGAGTGGTTACAATTCTCATAACAGACTGGAAACTGAAGAAGTAAATTTCTCATGAAAAAAATCAGAACAGGCACTATAGGTAGTAATCAAACCATTTAAGGCATTCCAATACTCCATTTCATCATAATCCATTTCAGCAACCTAATCTGCCAAGGCAAGCAGATATTTTACCAGTAACATGGAGTTACATGGAATTATTCTGCAACTGTACCTGTGATCTTTTCCATGTAAGTTTTAAGAAGTATGAAAACACATGAAACATCATCACACAAGCAGGAGCTGCTATCTGCCATATTGAGAGATGGTCTGGATTGGGAGGGAGTTGATGAATGGCTCAATAGCTTTTTTTAAACCAGATTCATCTCACAGCCAAATATTTGGAGTTTACAATATCAAATTAGGAAATTCGAGCTCAATGTGAGTCCTCTAACCTAGGACATGCATCATTTATCTGCATAAAGGGGCACTAATTGTACAGTTTCATAGTGTGTATAACAAATTCCTTGCTAATAACTAAACTATCCTGTATCATCACTGAATTGACATTCAATTGTTCTCATGACCATTATTTCATTATTTCATCATGGTGTCAAATGGAAGTAATTCTAGGAGTGACTAATGGGGATCCTACAAAGAAAACAAGTAAAATAAGTAATCAAGGAAAATAAGAATATGCTAACTGAAGATTTTCCAATCGACTGTTGAACTTCTTTTAGGAACTCTAATTGTTGTTCAGCTTCTTCTAGCTTTCCTCCAAGCACCTGGCACCATATAATCCCTGTAATTAACATATATGATAAAATATACTTTTAATAACTGTCATAGTCTTGTTATAGTAAAAAAGCAGCAAAGCAATTGATAACACTAATGCAAAGGTATCATAAAAGAGGAATTATGGAAGTTGCTTATCATCATTTCAATTTAATTGCAATCTCTTCTCTGAATCTTTCCCCAGTTAGAGGTTCAAATATATTCAGGATGACAATAAACCAATCATATAAATCAAATGGTGGAATAACTACTTTTATTAATAAAAATTTTACAAACAAAACTATGCAAGTTATTGTTTTCAGTGCATTTATTTTACTAAAATCCTTTTATTTTTCCTAATTTACTACACTAATTTTTTAAGGTTTACTGTGTTTCTTTTTCTTCTTATCTCTTAAGTTCTTCTTACTTTTTTCACATTCTTTATTAACAAAATTCTCTTTGTTTTTCATTATTCATTTTGCAAGGGGAAATTCTTT